CTATTGTTAGTTGATTTTTTTCGGGGCGGGGTGGGATTGGTAGAGGTAATTCTAAAATTATGGTCAAACCATACGAGCACTGTAACTTTTAACGACGGAACGGGATTTCTCAGGTTCTTCCCCTTTTCTATTCATTTGACAACTTTTCTGTTATTTTTAATGTGAAATTACTGCTCTCACTTGCTGAAAAGACTGACGTCATTAAATGTACTAAATTCATTAGCAAAGGAGGTTGATTTGCGGAAACATGCAGTCGAATCTGTTTTAACAGCCACCTGTACATGCCAATCACCTAGATACACGGCCATTTCCCATTTCCTCCCTTGGTATTTTTTTTTTACTTGAAAATGACACAATGTAAGACGGCCAGTTTTCCAAGGTGTCCACTTTCTTGTTCGACAATGCGTGACTGGTGTAGACAACTTGTGGCATAAATAAATATTGTAACCAGTTGCGAGCAGGTTGTACATTCATTCCTTTAAGATTGATGGTTGACGAGTGCTCTTTTGGGGTTTATTGCTACTTCTTTCCTATCAAACATTTAATATCCTAAACTCTACTTCTCATTTTCTGTGTATAATAGTCTCGTAACACCTCAAAATTTCGACACTTATATGCACATGACCGGAGCTGTGTAGAAAGCTGTTGGAAAACTTTTACTAAAACCAAACTTTTTAAAAATTATTTCGAGGCTTATATTCATATTGTGCAGAAAGGTCGTTTTTACTATTTTTTAAATCTTTATAATTCTATTGTCTGAATCTTTTTATCGGTAAAGTGAAAATACAATTTATGTAACGCAGCATGGACATGTCGTGTACAGAATATTAAAAACAAGTGGTTCAGATTCTACTTGCCCCCCCTCCGCAAAAAAAAACCTCCCTCCCCCCCTTTTTTGCCCCATCGATATAATGTATCAAACAATTCTTTCACCCTACGTCATGGCGATCCAAATGTGACCCCACACAGAGTTGAAGACCCCGGATCTGCGTAGTAAGCTAAGTAAGTTGCTAATGGAAGCCTCACGTAAACGTTAACCTACAAAGTATTGACGAAGGTAGATAGTTCCCGTTTTGGTAAGTGACGTCTGTGGTCGAGTGGTTAGGCTACCGGACCCGTAATTGTCAGATCGCGAGTACAGGGTTTCGAACCTCAGCTCGGTCCCACGTTGTGTCCGAAGGCACTTTTCACCAGTTTCCCATTTGGCTCGGTCCTTTCGGAGATAGAAGTTAAACTCGTAGGTCCCGCCTCTTGAATAGTCTAATAGTGTTGATAGAAAAGCTTAACTTACACCATTTCACCATTTCATCGTTTTTGGTAACTGTGTTCTATTATCTCGAAAACAAACAAATTCTGAATATAACACAGTGTTTGATAAACTGGGTGATATCGCTCTCTAGTGGGGTTTTTAAACTTAGTAATTTTAGTGGGGCCTGGGGACCATCCGAGTAATGATAGATTTTAATGCCCTACTTGGAAATACATGAAGGACCGTGGTGCAAAATTGTTAGCCTCTTACAGGTGGCAAAAGTAGGTACTGGCTATCTTAAGGTTGATAAGCACTGCTTTTGCCTTTTAGACCTGCGTATGGCTACAGAGAGCTACTATTATTTGCACGAGGTCCAAATATTCTTCTCCTCACCTATGTCCTTCTGTCTGTCTATCTGTCCGCCTGTCTGTCTATCTCTCTTGCTTTTACCAGCACTGGATTATTCCTGATATTGTCTCTTTTAAGCAATGGTTCTCTTTTGTAATGTAGATTTTACGTGCCCTTCGACACGATTTAGATCATTGAGGAAGCGGGTTTCAGCCCTGACTGTCAGGCCCAACCTAACCTGAGAGGGATTCACCGTCCTAGCTGAAACATCGAGATGCTTGATAAAAATTCTCCCCATTCGGGAATCGAACTCTGGTCTCCTGCGCACGACAGCAGAGCACTGAACGCCTACAGCACAGAACAAAATGTTGGTCTACCGTAAAAATGTAAAGCAAACGAAAATACAAACTCCAATGACATATCATTAACTTTCATGTTCCGTTGTGTATTTTTTCTCAGAAACAACAAAAAAAAAACCAATCATGCAAGTGTATGGAATCTTGGTTGTCCTGGCAACAGTCTGTCTGACCAGTGGTCAGCCGTTGAGCACCTCAGAGGAGTCTGAGCTGTCCTCAGCCCGGGGTGAGGTGGTCAGAATGTGGCATTTTGTCCGCGCTGTTATGAGGAATCTGCCTTCCGTGGCCGGTACAGTGCCAACTGAGGTATGGTAAATGTACGACGTACCTTGTTGTACGCCACCATCAACACGATTTAGACCATATGTCTCAAATCTGCGGCCTGCTCTTCTAGCCAATTGAAGCCCTTAGTAAGATACTTTTCGTCCCCTATTTGACATTAAAGATTAGTGTTCATTAATTATTGTTGGCATCGTCCTTTCTGGTCTCCTGCTGTCGCGGCTTACTTGTCAATTGTCGCTACCCTCGAAAGACAGAACAATCCATACACACACAGTGGCTACTAGTAATGGCATGTTTGTCAAATTGTTGCGCATTGGTGTACTATTGCGTATTTGGTATTATTTGTATGTATATTTGTTTGCGTGTTAGATATTAAACCATATATATATA